TTGGTCAGAAGCAGGAAGCATGAGTGCTCTAAAACTTCCTGGCAGACGGCTGCGTTGACCTTGGACCTCAGAAAACCCAATGGACCAACACCAGCAGATGACATGGCACAACAAACCATCACTGACTGTGGAAACGTGGATTCTGTGCCTCTCTTCTCTTTCTCCAGACTCTGGGACCTTGATTTCCAAAGGAAATGCTAAATGTACTTTCATCAGAGAACATAACTTTGGCCCACTCAGCAGCAGTCCAGTTCCTTTTGTCTTTAGACCAGGCGAGACGCTTCTGACGCTGTCTTTTACTCAACAGTGGCTTGACAGAGGACTGCGACAGCTGAAACCCATGTTTTGCATACGTCTGTGTTTGGTGGTTCTTGAAGCACTGACTCTAGCTGCAGTCCACTCTTTGCAAATCTCCTCCACACGTCTGAACGGGTTTTGTTTCACAATCCTCTCCAGAGTGTGGTTATCCCTGTTGCTTTTACAATTTTTCCAAAACAACCTTGTCCTTCTCCACCCCTCTATTAATGTGCCTGGACACAGAGCTCTGAGAACAGCCAGCCTCTTTAGCAATCACCTGTTGTGTCCCTACCTTTTCTTGCATTGGTCTAAATTGATATTCTAATTTTTCGAGATATAGAATTTATTATGATTTTCATTATTTGTCAGTTATAATAATCAAAATTAAAATAAATTAACATTTGACATATATCAGTATGTGTGTAACGAATTAATCTAATATACTAGTTTCACTTTTTTAATGGAATTACTGAAACAAATCAACGTTGTTATATTCTCATTTTAGGACCAGCACCTGTAATGTTTAATGACGTTAGACCCTTTTGAAATAAATCTTCAAAATCAAAAGTAACATTCTGATTAGGGCTGGGCCTCAAATCAGCATCAAGATACATCGAGAAGTTCACCTGGATAACGATAAATGACTGATAACTACCTACAGCAGTTAGAGGGAGCACCGGCGTGGTAGGTTTGGTTGAGGAGAAGCTGGTTTCCACAAAAATCCTTCAACAACCAATCTGCAATAGTTTGGATTCGGTCACGGCTGCCAAACTCTGCTGGATTTTTTCAAACAGATGATAAGTTGACACGTTGGTAAATCACCCATCTCTAATTCTGATGTCTTCAAATCTCACCTTAAAGCTCCAGAGAACAGTCTAGTCTGATAAAAACAGTGATTTGTTTTACGTCCAGTCCTAAATGTGATATCTGTTGAAGAAAACTCCCCACAGGCGGCTAAACACACGAAGAGTAATTATAAGATTACGGAGAATACCTCCAGCACATTCCAGAGGACTCCGTCACGGTTAAGTTTCTACATCATTTTAAACTCTGCAGCTTTGCCTCAAAATCACATGATGCAGAAAATGAACAAGAACTCTAGACACACCTAAAACACACACACACACACACACACACACACACACACACACACACACACACACACACACACACACAATACAGCACCGCCCCATACATCATGTGACAGGATGACAAACAGAAACTTACGTTTGACCACAAAGCCTCACCAAAGTAAATAAGTGATAATACGTGTGTGTGTGTGTGTGTGTGTGTGTGTGTGTGTGTGTGTGTGTGTGTGTGTGTGTGTGTGTGTGTGTGTGTGCGCGCGTGCATACTACCTACCGAGGACCATTTTGACCATTTTCCCTACAAAGTGAGGACATTTTGCTATGCGAGGTCATTTTTTGGACCTCACTTTGTTCAGAGGCTTAGCAGAAGCTTCCTGTACGAGTTGGAGGTCTGGTGTGAAACTGGAGTTATACTAAAATAATTAAACTACATGATTAGACCATCAGCTGTGAAAACTGTGATTCTGGGATCTGAGAGAGGAGATGAGGTCATGAACATAAGAATAAAACAAAAACATGACTTCCCTTTGCTGTTGGTGGAAATCTCACATATTTAACGGGGAAGAGGATGCTTCGGTAGCGTTTTGGTGCTGAGAGACAGAAGGCTGCGAGTGACAGCGCCAGGTGTCACGAAGTAAAATGTGAGACCCAATTCACGGCAAAACATTCGATATTGGAGCGATCTGTGACAGATTGTTACTTCTCTGTAGTTTAGTGGGTTTGATGAATGAAGGAGGATGGGACGGATGAAAGTCCATCAGACAGATCAGCTGTTTAGCTGGAAGATGGGAAAAGGAGAGCTGCCTCTGACGCCAAAGCGAGGGTTTTCAAATGATCCTTCCTCTTTGAGAAAGATGAGCCGAGTCATGAGCAGACACTACAAAGAAGTGTTTTTATCTTTTCAGCTTTGTTTTGGTTAGCGGCCGTCTTGATGACGTTATGTTTTTGGGTTGCTCATGATGCAACGTGTCCTGTTGGACAGACGTCGTACGGCGTGCCACCTTTCTGGAGTTCTTGCAGAGGGACATGAACAATCCTGTGCAACGGCTGGAAATCCCAGTGTGATCCCGGCTTTAGTCCAACAAAGAAATGTAGGCATGTATGGCCCCGATCGCCAGGAAAAAAGCACGCCATCACTCAAACATCAAAACTTTGTGTTTGCCAACGCCAGCTTTCTGGAGCCCTGCGTATGGATCTTAATGGTTGTGTTGAAGGTGACAGACAGTTGTCGGCACAAGCGTTCGACACGTCTTGTTGAACGTAGTCTCTATTGTAACCAAAACATCTCCAAATAGGAGATGTTGTTGCTTTAAGCACAACTTCTTCCACACCAACACTGTCCACACGTCTTGCCCTCAGCCATTGTGATGGACTCAGGTGTTCATTTGCTAGCATTCAAATGAAGTGCTGTCTGCCTACGAGGCGGCGTCTAACGTATAAGCGCCTCTGGATTTTTAGCTTGAGAGGTGCTAAATAAAAGATTGTTTTCTTCTTTCTTTTTTTACCCGGCTGGGCTATTTGCTTGATCAAAAACCTCCTGCCTTCATGCGACTGACTAAAGGAATCGTGTAGCAAACATCTGAGTTGACCATTCATCACCGTTTCTTCTGTTCTTTGGCTATCGTGCATGCTGATATCGCAATGACAATAAATGTATGATCTAATGTGCAGCCCGAGTGTGTGAAGTGGATAATGACCCTAACCCTTACATTACAAATATCATCTAGTCACTACCGACTAGGGTCGTCACGGTGTGAAAATTTAACCTCACGGTTATTGTGACCTAAATTACCACGGTTTTCGGTATTATCGCGGTATTTTTTTAAAAGTGCTACATTTTCACACAATTAAATAAATCCTGTAAATCAGGAAAGTATTGTCCTTGGTTTGTGTCCTTCCAGTGAGCTTTGCAGATGTGGGAAAATGTCATCAGGCAGTAATCGTTGTTAAATTCATAATTATTCTCGGAGAGAGACCAACTCTTATCGGCCCCTGGGAGCCCCGTAATGCATAGCGTCATTTCAACATGGCGGTGTCCGCGACACGGTTTACATGCAGGTAGCGGCGCTGCGGCTGCTTTCTATAGCAACTCGTTGCGTTCTCCCTCAACCCAAATCCTCGGATCACGCATTATAGCTAAAACGCTAACGTTAGCTTGCCTTGCGTTGACTGTAGAGTTGTGGGTGATGGTCACGCAGATGTGTCATGAGATTTGAAGCGTTGCTGCCTTTCACAGACACTTTTTCTGCTCGTGCTGCAAACAGGATAGCCGTCTTCTATCAGCTGTCCCTCGGCATTCTTCACATATCCAAAACATGCCCGTACTTCCCACTTTGTCTTCTCTGAGGGATAAAAAATGTCCTGAGCGCTGCCGTCTCCTCCTTTGGCCATTATTCCAGCTTTAGCTTCAAGAAAGTTTTGGTTGTAAACAACAAAGTGCGCATGTGCCGCCGGCAACTTCAGCAGATGATACGGTGGCTGGTAAGGGTCACCGCGCCTACACCACAGCCACGGTAATCCACCGAGATAATATAGTTTTTTTAAAAACAAGACGGTTATCATTATTATCAACTTTTTTACCGGGGTTTACCGCTACACCGGTTACCGTGACAACCCTACTACCGACAGAGACACGTTACATTACAAATATAATCCAGTCACTACCGACAGACACGTTACATTACAAATATAATCCAGTCACTACCGACAGACACGTTACATTACAAATATAATCCAGTCACTACCCACAGAGACACGTTACATTACAAATATAATCCAGTCACTACCCACAGAGACACGTTACATTACAAATATAATCCAGTCACTACCGACAGACACGTTACATTACAAATATAATCCAGTCACTACCGACAGACACGTTACATTACAAATATAATCCAGTCACTACCCACAGAGACACGTTACATTACAAATATAATCCAGTCACTACCCACACAGACACGTTACATTACAAATATAATCCAGTCACTACCCACAGAGACACGTTACATTACAAATATAATCCAGTCACTACCGACAGACACGTTACATTACAAATATAATCCAGTCACTACCCACAGAGACACGTTACATTACAAATATAATCCAGTCACTACCCACAGAGACACGTTACATTACAAATATAATCCAGTCACTACCGACAGACACGTTACATTACAAATATAATCCAGTCACTACCGACAGACACGTTACATTACAAATATAATCCAGTCACTACCCACAGAGACACGTTACATTACAAATATAATCCAGTCACTACCGACAGACACGTTACATTACAAATATAATCCAGTCACTACCGACAGACACGTTACATTACAAATATAATCCAGCTGCACACATCCGGATTGAGTCTGGGAGCTGCTAGTCCACATGTTTTACATCTTTTTCTTCTAGTCGAAGGAAACGGAAGTAAATATCTTTCATCTTATTCATAAACGAACATCTCTGCTGCTCTGTCAAACTTTTACTATTTAGCGCAATTTACCCAATTTTCGGCGTAATTAACAGCTAGACTCCAGCCTGTCTGAGATTCTCACGGAAACGCGGAACATTTAGCGTTAAAAGCGGTTCTGTTTAAATCACTTCCGTTACCTTCGTCTGGGCTCCGGTGGAGTCGCGGTACCGTGCTGTCCTCGCAGCGTTTCGGTGGTAAATCAGCGGAGATCAGCCTTCTCAGATGGAGTTCACTCACTTTATGACCCCAAACTAAAACCAGAGCGAGGGGAGGAGCCCCGCCCCACCGCTCCACAGCTCAACTCTCCCGCCTCCTCGCGCGCAGATGATGCGTTGCGTTCAAGCTCCGCACGGACAAACTGAGGACCACCCCTTAAATTGAGCGCTTTTCAATTTCAGGTAACTGACTCCTGTTAGCTTCATCAGAACGTGATTCCGGCTCCCGCTGGAGCGGGTCACAGCCCAGAGTGAAGCAGCAGGGATGAGGATCAGCTCCTCTAAATCTGAGACCACGGTCTTGATTCAGAAAAGGGTAGAATGCCTTCTCCGGGTCAGGGATGAGGTCCTGCCCCAAGTGGAGGAGTTCAAGTATCTCGGGGTCTTGTTCACGAGTGAGGGAAAACTGGAGCGTGAGATCGACAGGTGGATTGGTGCTGCGTCTGCAGTGATGCGGGCGTTGTACCGGTCTGTCGTGGTGAAGAGAGAGCTGAGTCAGGAGGAAAATCTCTCTGTTTACCGGTGGATCTACGTTCCTACCCTCACCTATGGTCATGAGCTTTGGGTAGAGACCGAAAGAACGAGATCACGGATAAAAGCGGCTGAAATGAGTTTTCTCTGCAGGGTGGCTGGGCTCTCCCTTAGAGATAGGGTGAGAAGCTCGGTCATCCGGGAGGGGCTCGGAGTAGACCCGCTGCTCCTCCACATTGAGAGGAGCCAGTTGAGGTGGCTCAGACAACTAGCTAGGACGCCTCCCTGGTGAGGGTTTCCAGGCACGTCCAACTGTGAGGAGACCTACAGGTAGACCCAGGACACGCTGGAGGGACTATGTCTCTCACCTGGACAGGGAACGCTTTAGGATTCCCCCAGAGGAGCTGGCCCAAGTGGCTGGGGAGAGGGAAGTCTGGGCCTCTCAGGTTAGCCTGCTGCCCCCGCGACCTGACTCCGGATAAGCAGCTGAAAATGGGTGGATGGAGTCCACCTGCCCCAGGACAGCTGTGGCTACATTGTAGCTCATCACCACCAAGGTGTGAATGGGTGAATGACAGATTGTGTTGTAAAGCGCCTTGGGGGGTTCCAGGACTCTAGAATACAGGTCATTTACACACAAAATCAATCACATCCACTCTAACAATAACATCACACAGATGCTCTTTGATTCTATTTTAAATGTGCCGTATGTGACGGAGTCCAGGTGTGTTATGGAATGGTGTTTCACGCTCCAGCTGCCTCACAGCTGAAAACTGACTGTCCAAAGGAACTTTTCCTGCATGGTATCACACAATCCTCTGTTTTTAAAGATAATGGCCACAGGCTACATTCCTCTAATGGCCTGAGTAGAAGTAGGAGGTGCAGACATGTTTTAGACCGTTTGACTCAGAAGACCCGCGGCCCGATTTGGACATGGAGGAGGATTCTGGTCATCTTCAGAACCAAAATCGATACCGTTTGTTTACTTTTCTTAAATATTTCATTTCTGTGCTCCACCAGGAGCTCTCAGCTGACTACCAGACTTAGCTCCATCCGTCCCAATATAATTCAGTAATCTACAGATAAATAAAATAATGTGCTGCCTGTATGTGTTGATAACTCTGGATCATATTTAACAGATACCTTACCAGGATAAAACCTGATGCTGGAGTAACTCCTTAGTTTGACTCGTTGTTTGCACTAATCCAGGATGGCAGGGGCGATTCTAGCATCAGAGGTTTAGGGGTGCTGAGCCCCCTGAGAGCCAAAGGGATCCCCTTGGCCAAGTGGCCAGGGTGCATGATCAATCAGGATACAGTGACAGGATGCTCACCCCGTCACATCAGGATGTCCGAGGAAGATCCCGTTTTTCTCGGCACAGAAGGGCTCTACTACGATTGGCTGTTTTATTTAGCAGCAAACCATCTTCCCATGCTAAGTGCAGACTGTTCTCCTGCCATTGCCACCAACAGAAAGCTGTTTTGGGACTTTTGTAAAGAAAATGTGAATTTAGCGCTATAATAATCAGAGGCGAGAAAGACGGGACCTTCTTTGGACAATACAGCTCCAAATGACCAGGAGCCCTGGCCTTTCTTATAACTCATTCTTCGCGGTTGGAGATCAGTGGGATATTAGCTACATGCTAACCTGAAACTAATCTGATCTGCAACCGTGAGAATGAGCTGATCTGAATGGCCAGGGCGCTTGGTCGCAGCGATCTGAGGCTCTGCTTGTAATTTAACAGTCCCAGTCCATATTAGACCTCCACAGGTGACAGCACGATTACAGCCTCGCACTGAAGCCGGTCGACCGTGCGGGTGAGTTACCCCACGGTCCGTGATGCGACGTCTGCTACTGTCATCGCTTTCCTATCTACTGTTTTCAGCAGAGAAGGCAACTCCCTTGAACTCGTAACTGCTAACGGCCCTTCCTTTGTGTCTGCTGAGTCTGAGGTCTTTTTACCAGCTCAGGACATCACATAGTGCTGCAGCTCCATCTACTATCCACAAAGCAACGGAGAGGTGGGCAGATGGAACAGAGTTTTAAAGGACTGTCTACACACAGCTGACATTGAAGGTAGGCCATGGAAGCTCTTTGTCACTAATGTCCTCCTCCCTTATCGGGTAACTCCACGTGTAGTGACCCAAGTCTCTCCTGCTGAACTTCTGCATGGCCGACTGTTCCACACCAAGTTGAACATCAAAACCAGCAGCAGCCTCCTGCCTCGTGCATCTGCTCAGCTGCAGGCTGACCCACAATCAGGCAAAAGCTAAGCGCTATGCGGATGAACGCAGTGGAGCACGGTCTCCAAAGTTTCAGTGTGGTTCCTATGTTCGGACCAGGAAGCCAGGAATTGTAAAGAAAGGACACTTCAAATTCACGCAGCCCCTCAGGGTGGTTGCTCAGAAAGGCCCGGCTACCTACGAACTTTCTGACGGTAAAGTTTGGAATGCCACACACCTGTCCCCGGCGAGCTCCCCCTTCCCTGAGGTGCATGCAACCAGTACCTGTGTGCGAGCTGAGGATGTTTATGTGCCCCCTCAGACACCCACGGCTACTTGATCGTCTTTTCCACCCCTGCTGAGTCGTAGGCAGATTCGGCCACCTGCGGGGCTGGGTGTTTCAGCCACCTGGCACCACGGGGAAGACTGTGATGTGATTTCTGGACTGTTCTTTATGTTCAGTTGACGTAAGGACTAGCACACGTTCACCATTTATGTTATGCACAGTTCTAATTAATGTATTGTTCCACATGAAGCTCTCGAAAATCTCGCAAGAGACTACAGAAAATTGGAAACTTCTAGAGGGCAAGTGTGCCATTGTCGGTGTTGTAAATATTATCAAGATGTCTTTTGCCAAGATGGCGCCGCAGATGGACGCCCGGGTACTTTGGTGAGCTGTTTCTGTTTTGTTTTAACGTGTAAATTGCCTGTCTGGGTTCTCCTACTCCAGAGAAGACCTCATTAGCTACAACACTATGATATGGGTGGATGTATCCTCGACTTCTGCTGCATCCTCGGCAGATTTAATACTAACTTTGATCAGGAAAGTGAGACGCCGAAGGAGGGGAAAACGAGCTGGGGCTTGAGCATCTGACATGGCTCTACCTGGGTTCTTCCTATCTAACGCACGCTCACTCCGCAACAACATGGACGAGCTGACCCTGATGACAAGCATAAATGGAGACTTTTCCTCATCGTGTATCTCATGCTACATTGAAACGTGGCTCAGTGAGGACACCCCGGACTGCACGCTCCAGCTAGAGGGGTTAATCTCCTCCGCACCGATCAGGAAGCGGCCCTCTCCGGCAAGACCACGGGTGGAGGTGTGTGCTTTTACATCAACAATGGTTGGTGTACAGATGTTAGCGATGGCTCAGCATCGCTCTCCCTCTCTAGAAAATCTTTTATAAACCGTTTTCCTCTTCGCGGGAGTTAGCTTCATTCCTTTTAGCCGCTGTTAACCCTAACCCTAACCCGCCAGACGCAGACGTGCACGAGGCTCAGCGCTTGGAACTGATATTGTGCATGGAGTGGACGTACCCGTACTCCCTCATCATTGTTCTGGGAGATTTTAACAAAGCCAGTCTGAGTCAGGAGCTTCCCAAATACAAACAGTATATTAAATGACCAACCAGAGAGGAGCAAACTCTGAACCGCTGTTACGGCACGGTGACGGGAGCCTATCACGCATTGCCTCGCGCTGCACTCGGACTTTCTGACCACATGACCATCCATCTGATCCCAGCGTACAAACAAAGGCTAAAACTCTTTAAGCCTTTTGTGAAGTCAACAAAACAGTGGAGCGATGATGCTGTAGATGAGCTCCACACATGCTTAGAGACCACAGACTGAGAGGTAATGAGGGCTGCCTCTGACAGCTTAGATGAGTTCACAGATTGCTGGGTTTCACTCACGGGACGTCTGCAGACGTGCAACACTCAAATGGAGGACAGGAAGTGTTTTGCTCTGCAACAAAACACCTACAACACAGCACGATGGGTGAAAGCCATCTCACAAAGGCTTTAAATGAGCTGGCTCAGACGCGATATCACAAAAACCATCTTCTTGTAGGCCATGACCCATATAGTTTAAGTCACACGTTTCATCCACTGCCTTCCTCACATCACACAGCTAACCAAACAAAAGCTTTTACAAGCCTGGAAGCCTGCAGCCAGGGGTAACCTTTTAGCGATCTGGAGAAGCTTTAAATTTCCCGTCTTCTTGTTTTCGCTCAGTGCTGAGTCATGCTATTTTTTCATTAACTCATGAAAATGTGGCAAGGTGGGGCAATGAGGGCCCGGGTGGGATCCGATCCCCAGACTCCTGGGTGAGAGTCACGCGCGCTAACCAGTCAGCCAAAGGGACTCGCCTTGGCCAAGAAGCCAGGGCGCAGGATCAATCAGGATACGGTGACAGGACGCTCACACAGTCACACTAGATGTGTCGGTTCTGGTCAGAGCGGGTCAGTTCAGGTGTAAACACAACACAGGGTCATGTGACTGGAACAAAGCAGCTGGAGTGGGCGGGTCTACGGTTGTTGTTCATGAGTCCGACTGCAGAGGGGAAGAAACTGTTCATGTGTCGAGAGGTTCT